GTTGATGGTTACGAAAAGCAATGCTCGTAGGTCAAATTCCTCTTGTTTGTGCTCATCCCACACACGGACACCACCCCACAGCTGTAAAAGTTCATCAACTAATGGCCTTAGGTACACATCGATGTCGTTGCTGGGTTGCTTCGGACCTTGGATGAGCACTGGCATCATAATGAACTTCCGCTTCATGCACAACCAAGGAGGAAGGTTGTAGATGCATAGAGTCACGGGCCAGGTGCTATGGCTGGAGCTCTGCTCGCCAAAAGGATTCATGCCATCCGTACTTAGAGCAAATCTTATGTTCCTTGCGTCAGCTGCAAAATCTTTGAACCATCTGTCGATCTTTCTCCATTGCGTTCCATCTGCGGTGTGTCTCAACTCCCCGTCCGACTTACGGTCCTCTTTGTGCCATCGCAACAACTTGGCATGCTCTTTGTTCCTGAACAGACGTATCAACCGTGGTATTATAGGAGCATACCACATCACCTTGGCGGGAACCCTCTTCCTGGGTTTCTGGCCCTCAACATCGTCACCAGGGTCATCGCCTCTGATCTTATAACGCAATGCAGTGCATACCGGGCATTCATTCAAATTCTCGTATTCACCGCGGTAGAGGATGCAGTCGTTGATGCATGCATGTATCTTCAGAACCTCTAAACCTAGAGGGCAGACAACCTTCTTTGCTTCGTACGTACTGGCGGGCAACTCGTTATCCTTTGGAAACATATTCTTCAACATTTTCAGCAAGTTTTCAAATGCCGAGTCAGCTACACCTGCCTCTGCCTTCCATTTCAACAAATCCAGTGTGCAGCCCAGCTTTTTCAGACCATCATCGCATCCGGGGTACAGCGCCTTTCTGTGATCCTCTAACATGCGATCCAAATTCTCCCTCTCCTTTTCAGTTTCGCAGCGTCTCCGTGCATCAGCAATGGTCCGACCAAGATCATCAACGGGATCATCACGTGCCTCTTCTTCACCTTCCCCTTCACCTTCAGCATCCTCCATGAAAGTATCACCGAAATGAGCAAGATAGCTTTCATCGATGAAATCATCCCCTTCTTCATCTTCTTCCATTATAACCCCTCTTTCTCCATGCTTGGTCCAACAATTATAGCTTGGCATGAAACCGTGCCGAAGCAGATGCATGTGAACATCTCTTGAGGAAGAGTAACCCTTCTGATTCTTACAGATAACACATGGACAGATAACAAAACCCCCCTGCTTGTTCGCATTAGCCACTACGAGGAAATCTTTCAAACCCGTAGTGAACTCGCCGGAGAGTCGGTTACCGTACATCCATTGCCGATTCATCTGCATTATTATAATATAAAATATATAATTAACCATCATGCATTTGTTAAACTAACTAGCTACAAACAATATAAATTAAACAATAAACTGCACACATGCATATTTTATCAATGACACACATGCATGAAAGGTTCAAGTTGCTAACCGCGATCGAGGAGGAAAAAATAAATGAGGAACCTCAAGTGTGGCTCCAACACTTCATATCATGTTTGTTTCACCCTCTTAGGGCATTTCATCAAACACCTTGTGTGCATAAGAGGAACCAAAAGCAAACCTACACCCCCTTGTGAAGCTTGTGAAGAGAAGTGGCACCAAATGGCTAAGTGAGCGTGCTGAACTGGTATATATAGGGGAGGAGCTTTAGTCGCGGTTGGCCTGGCCAACCGCGACTAAAGGCCTTTGCGCACCTTCAGTCGCGGTTGGCCTGGCCAACCGCGACTAAAGCCCCTCACGTGCACCAGCTGGCCACCGAGCGCCCTGGGCCCAGGCCTTTGGTCGCGGTTCGTCTGCCGAACCGCGACTAAAGACTTCATTAGTCGTGGTTCCTACAGTTTCGCGACTAATGGGGCTGGACGGAAGCCTCTTTTTCTACCGGTGATATGTTTGGGCGGGACGGCTGTGGCGGATGGACCGTCGTTGATAATCGCGAAGCTTTTGATCCACCGAATGGTGCGTTCGATTTTGAGTGTGTGATGCAGATACGAGGTGGCTGTTTCTACCAGTTTGGTCCCAGTAGGTTGTATAGATTGTAATGGCAAGTGGAGTGTTATCTTGACCTATTCTCAATTTTCTGAGTCGAGTGAATTTTTTGGAACGTTTGCGGGCTGGCCGACCTAAGTGTACCCGTATTCTCGCTGAGCTCATCCAATATGTTCTGTTCTTGCACATTTGAATTCATGAAGCACAATTAGTTCAAATATATTATTTATTTGTCTAGAATAGAGGATTACAATGCGGTTTCGGGAACTGAATTTAATTCGATTTTCCAGTTGATCTGATGCTTATGTAGTTAGTCCCTGTTTGAATTTCCCTTTGCTCATGATGTTGGATGTTGCTTCAAGTAACATGCTGCCTCAGCTACTTTAGTTTAACCCGTGCTTTGTGACAGTAGTTAAGCATTTTGTTGCCTCGTTCTAATGAAAATGGGGCGATGGAACCCCTTTTGATAAAAAAGGTTTAATTTGATTTTCACATGCACCTAAAAGATATATATTATGGCCATGGCTTTATTTGGTGATTGTTAGGATTAGTTGCACTAAGCATTGCATTTGAACATGGTTCATGGCTGGTCTAGATGCGAAGGACAAGTGAACCGAGACGATGCCACTTATTTGTGGCGCCGTCGTCACTTCTGTCAAACCATAGCACCTGCGGCTACCGCTTCTCATTGAAGAGGATTTTTATAGAACAATAATCTGTCAAGCTTCATTGATCAGGGTTAACACGAGAGGTATGCATGTCTCATCATGGGGCTAGCCAAGCAAAATGTGGCAGCCCTGAACCGAAGAATACGAAAACTTGACTATTCCGTGGGCTTTTGAGATTAAAGCTCTGGCCACAAATTTGCAGGTTTTTAGAAAACAAGACAAAATTACAGTTTTTGTTTGAACCGAGAGTAACTAGTTAACGATCGCTCCTTTGGTAGCCTCCCAATGATTATATGGGGTGGGCTGAGAGCGCGCCATTGGCACCGCCATGTGTCGTGCTCTGGGCGTTTCCTCCGGATTTTAATTTATTTTTTTGCACGTATTTTTGGCTTTTTAGACCCGTTTTTCCGGTATTTTGGCTTTTTGGTTTTCCACCGGTCCTTCTTAACTTTTGGATGAAAAATTTACGAGAAAAAAAACACATTTTCTTTGAGCTTCCACGAGAGGAACGACCATGCCTCTCGAAAAACAGGAAAAACACATATTTTTCCTTCCACGAGGCACGGTTTTACTTCCGCGACAGGCACGGCCGTGCTTCTCGAAAACGAAAAAAACGTGTTCTTTTTTTTTTTGCTTTCGCAGGAAGTATTGTTGTGCCTCTCGGAAACGAAAAAAATGTTTTTTTGCTTCTGTGAAAGACACAGTTAAAACATGTTCTCTTTTTTCCCCTTCCGCGAGAGGCACAATCGTGTCGTGCCTTTCTCGGAAAGGGAAAAAAGTGCTTCCGGTTCTGGTTTTTTTGTCCGTATTTTTGTGAAAAAAAAGTTTGACAAAATGTACCAATATATGATCTATTTTTAAAGATCTCCACACGAGAAATTCAATGGTGAAAATAGTTCAAGATTTGAACGTACGGTTTAAGAGATAAAACATTTGAACAAACAGATCTATGAAAAAAAAAAGGAAAACTCACAGATTGCGGCAAGTGGCACGCATGCAGTACGCCACTTGTTGCATCCTACGACGGGAGTGATCTTTGAAAGAAATACTCCTCAATAAGTGATTTCAGTTTGAACCTAACAAAATTATATACGGATACTAGTAAGCTTGCACGTGCAACGCACATATTATTATCAAAGTTTTAAATAGCCATCTATAGCACTGATATAGCCTACTATACAGGTTGGAGCAGGATGCCGCTAAATGGTACTCATAAACAATTATCCACTAAAGTTATGAGATAGTCTTGACGTGTCTCATTAATAAAATAAGGATTCAGCTACAAGCCACGTAAACACCGACATTACAGGACTGAAAAGATAGGATAATCCTACGCAAAATAACCAGCGCATGTCCCTCTCCACCAACGAAAAGGAGACAGAAAATGAAGGAAAGACTGATCTTGTTGTTTTTCTGCTCAAATAAAATACTCCCTCCGTCCTGAAATACTTGTAGGAGGAATGGATGTATCTAGACGTATTTTAGTTCTAGATACATTCATTTTTATGCATTTCTTCGACGAGTATTTCTAGACAGAGGGAGTACCTGATAGTAACATTCCACGATACAGACGAACTCAAGTAACCAAGATCGCACATTTTGACATGAAATGTTAGCATCTTAAAATGTACACAAGAATTACAACAAAATAGCAGGTGGCAACTCAAAAATATTTAGATGTCTCTTCATGCACTTTCTCTTCAACTCACCCATGTCTTCTCTTTTTATACCATCAGTGCTCCGAGGAACTTGAGACTTCAGAATGAGGCCTAGGCAGACGTATGTGCACCAACTAAATGAGAGAACAACATGCCTGGAGAAGCATGAGGAACCGATGCACCACCTTGATCAATGGTGTCAAGTGTTATAGAAGCCTCGTGATCAGTACACCGGTGATGTATGACATCCCGAAGAAGCTCACAACGATGGTAAGGTAGTAAATGAGAGTCTTGAAGTATGTCATGGCTCTTCTGTGGCCATAACCTTCCCGAGCGCTAGCAGAGCGATGCAGGCAAGCGAAGCACTGGCGACGTCCATCATCTTGTTCTCCCTGTCGTTACTCTCACGGAACGACAACCCGCAGAGCACTGGTGGAAGTAGCCCGAACACCATGTGTGAGAGCAGTGGTAGAACCATGTGGAGCCGGGCTTTCGACCACATCCAAGCTTGAGTCAGTAGTGGCCGACCTTCCGATTTGTCCTCGTTCATGACTCGGCTGTCTCTCAGATCAGTGATCTGTTATCCACAAGAAAATGATATGTTAGTTTTTGGAGTTTTGGATGTGAGTTTTCTGTAGTGGTCACTAAAATATTTTGAAAATTCAGCCACGAGAGAAGTTCGTTACATTGTGAAAAACGTGAGGAAGTCCACCAATAAGGTTGGCTATGCCCAAGATGAAAGTAACTGACATGTTTTTTTTTTGACAGAATCTGACATGTTTTTGGCGCCGCTTGATGCTGCTGTTGAAACAACGAAGAGGCTGGTGACTGACTCCACTAAGCCTCCATACAGTGGCTTTCAGTATCCCAATCACCCCTCTGTTGTTGCCTAGGAGTAGTCGGATTCACATTTTCAGAGACTGATAACACTACATCTGTTGCTCGAGGAATCCGAGACTTTGTTCTGTCGCCCCTTCGGATGATACATGGTATAGGGAAAAAACTTGGTGATCAAATACACAAGAAAGACTTAGACGGCACAAAAGATAGAGGCAGCAGGTTTCACAGGATTGGTTGTCGTCGGAGATTTGTTTGTTCAGTACATGTATGTGAAATTTATCTTGATTAACTTATTGATGATAGATAGTGTGAAACTGTGGAATAATAAATCTAAAAGGAAAATAATTTGGCATGTTATGATATTTGTCACAATTGGGCTGAAAAATGAGCCGTTATCTGCAGTTCCGTGAGCATCTAAGCAAATTAAGTTACTACTATCAGACTGTATCTCTGAAATAGCTCATGCATGCATGCTGATTACTTAATCGGACCTACGTTTGTCACCAATTAGGTGGTGAGTTGGATCCATGATAGCTTCACCAGCAGGCATTTCATCGGTTACAACTTCAATCACGTCTTTTTTGAAGATTTCTGCATGCGATGTTTCTACTCTCTGGAAACACTCTATTTTAGTATGGGTGTAATTTGGATTGGCAAGTCCCTTCATAGAAAATTTAATGGTGAATAAACCTGAATGTGACAGGGGGTCTTAGCACACTTCAAGAATTTTCAAGCCTCATCAGGAGCATGGTCAGGCAATATAAAATGTCTAGAAAATAATACACTTTTCCAAAATATTGCAAGACGCCTTGTTATGGGAACTCTTGTTAGAGCTTGAAGAAATAAATGTTGAAGCAGTTATGAGAGTTTTTCTGACCTAAGAAGCACTTCAACATTAGAAGGGGCCTGGCACCATGAGGGGCATCAAGAGGGAGTGGCCCATTTTGCAATGAACTTTTGCTACATTGCTGTCACGGGAAGGGGAGAGAGAGAGAGAGTTAATACAAATTGAATGGAAGTAGCAAATGAGCACTACGCAAGTTCTTTCATTTTATTAGAACCTAGGTTAGCGTGTGCGAAAAAAGTAGTTTTTCCAGCGTGCGACTAAGATAGCGTGCCCGTTGAAGATGCTCTTAGCAATGGAGAAATCATACCATGCTTGCGGATCTGAGTCGTCAATACTCGAATGGTGTACCAAGGAGATGTAGAGCAACAAATGTCGGCCTGTAGTGCTTAGCAAGGATCTTGAGCCGAAGAACCTCCTACACTTGGTTGCTGCAGCCAGGCAAGCCAGCATGGTGCAGAGGAGGCCGGTCGCATGAACTGAGGCACCGGCGGCCTGACGAGTCGTGGCGCTGGCGGCACGAAGAGCTGAGGCACCGATGGAGGTACCTCCACAGGCGCCGGCACATTCGCCTTTTGGACTGTTGGCCCATCTCCTTCCGCGGCGCCGGCCGCTGTTCTACGGTTCCGGAAATGGCAATTTGGGGGTGATTTGGAGGGTTCATATCTTCGATTTGGCGCACAAGAAATGATTCAGGATGAGGGAAGGGCAGATTTGGCGTGGTGACAAAGGGAGAAGCGTGGGACGCACGGGATCTCAAAAGTGTCAGCTCTAGCGCCCACGTGGGTTCCAAGCGGGCGGTTGTTCTTCGGTTCCTGCGCTATAGCCAGGCAACTGACGTCGCTCGCTTCTCTCTCCTCCCTTCTCTTCCCTCCAACGAGGATTTTGCTGACATGGAACGTCTTGCAGCCGGCTGACCGTGCTCTTAGGCTGGTCGTAGTGAGGAGTATCATATACTAGTATCATGCATATGATACTAGTGTATGATACTACTTCTGGAACTTATAGTATCATAAGTAAGTATCTTAGATTACTTTATTAATTGCCATGCATGACACAAACTAGTACAATATTTAATATGATACCATAGTATCATGATATGATACCACATCCTCTCTTTTCTTATTTAATTATATATCATCTCATTTAAAAAGTCTAGTTGACATGTATGATACCACTTATAATACTTGACCAACCCTAAAAATGCTCTAAACTTCAATGTGGGACATGACTCACAGGACTAGACACAAGGTGGAGTATGCGAGAAGAAATCTCACTTACAACGGACAAGGTCACACTGCCCAGCCCATCTGATGTGCAAAGGTGTCGGGCAATCTGCCTATGAACGAGGGGAGAAGATTTTTTTTCCTTCCCAAGGCAAGTAAAACATTACTCCCTACATACACACCGTCAAATCAGATAGGCAGTAGGTGCGCAGTATTGAGTGGTCACTAGGTAGTGGGGCCGCCCATGGTGCGCCGCCTGAACGGAACCTTTGCGTTGCCAGGGTTGCAAGCGCCCCTTCGGCTGCTTTTTCTCTACTTGCTGCGTGCTGCCACACATACATGTATAACCGAGAACCTTGTTAATCAGTTACTTTAAAACTGGCCAAATCCATTAGAGTAGTAATCCTCCTTGGAGCTGAAAGCGGCTTAAATTTGGAGAAGTAACAATCAGCTGTGTAGCACATATGCTAGTTCAAAAGGAAAGGGACGCAGTTTTGATCAAGGCATACATGTCGCACATACTATCCAAATGCAGAGGCACAGTTCCTCACAGGGTAAGGCAGAGTTAACGGCTCCGACAGGCTTAAGCAGCACACACTACATTGAGTGTATATATGTGTATATATATAAGTGGCAGTGGCGGTCGCCATGGCCTGTCTAGAGGCGGTGAAACTGCAGCTTCTCAAAATAGAGAAGACATTAGTGATGACCCGACGAAGCACTCCAAGATGAGCTTGGCGACGAATAGGTCGTCAGCGAGGAGGTGCTCACTGAGCGTCTGAGCCCTTGGAAGTGCAGCAACCAGCAAAGCAGTGGCAAGCAAGCCTACATCTGATCGCCTTGGCGAGATTGGGCAGCAGGCTCTCAAGCTTTCTCCTGTCTTGCGCAACAACGTTCCTCACCAAGAAAGAGTTGATAACCTTGTAATAATGTTATTAGTTTGAAAAAAGAGCTAACGTAAAAAAATTAAGAATGATGCATTCCAAATAGCAAGAAGCATGCACAATAGAACCAGCCGAAGCGCGGCGACAACGTGATGTGAACAACAGGAATTGAAGTGGAGTGTTGTGTCCCCTCCCCGCATCATATTCTCCCATCGCATCACATAGCAAGACTGAATACATATCAGTATTTGGAAGGAAACCTGCAATTGACAAAGAACAAAAAATGTTCGCTTCTTCAGCTACCTATGAATAAAACTTTGCTCCTAAGATGCACAACCTATACAAACACTAATTTTGTAAGCTACAAACCACTGTGCCTTGAAGCACAATCAACATGCAGGACCTACCTCCTAATTCATAGATGAATTATTAGTAAGTGACAACAGTATATTCCTTGCATTTACACTTAATAAAAAAATGAAACAAAGTGTAGTGAGAAATTAATCTAATAGACAATCTGAATGTTATATAAGCTCTGCTGAAGAATGGGGATCTGCCTGGCACATTTATTCATCGAAATCAAATAGACTATTGTGTTCACCACAATACTGTAATGATTAAAATTTATAAATCCATAACAGCAGCAGCTGAGGTGGATGTTTGAAATTTATACTATAGGACCATCACTTAAAATGAAAGTTCATCCTATTGCATCTAGGGAAATTACTGGAACTCCTATGTTTGCTGGTTCCTGATGAATACCAAAGTGAACATCCATAGATAGCAATAATAGCCATGTATAGGCAATAGTTTAGGAGTTCAAAAGATAGAGCATATCTGCACTCATATTCACACCTTTCGCAATGGATCTTTGAATTTACCCCAAGAAAACGAAACTGAATTATGAGCGATTCAGATAAGCAATTTTTCTGTGAACTCCTACTTCTGGATTGAGGAGACTACAAGTTGTACAATGAACAGACTGAACGAGATGCATATATACCGGCAAGGAGGGCGAGGCAGAGATTGAGTCCGGATGTGGATACGACCCAGTTTCCGGCGAGGCCGTTGGCGGCGACGAAGCGCGGCTGCACGTACCAGAGGCTCTGCATCTAAAAAGTAGCCAACAAAGGTACAAGTCATTAAATCAATGAAAATCAAGAAACATATGGAAGCAGAGAAACAAATGTCACTTCGAGGAGGTGGCACTTACATTGCTCAGTTGGATGAGGACTAACTTCAGACATGGAGATTCTAAAGTTCAGGGCCAAAACTGAAAATCAAGAACTCCTTTAAAACCTGATCACAGCACTTCAAGCTTAGATTTCTATTTGTAGTCTTGCTTACCCTTGTATTTTTTTAATACCAGACCTTGTTTTATTTGTAAGGCCCTTTCTTCCACCAATTGGTGGGCATACAGACACTATGTAGTTATTTCTAAAAATTATAAAATATAACAGTGGGAGTCTCTCCTGCTGTTTTGACTGATAAAAAAATCATTAAATCAATGAACTAACGCCCCTCCTAAAATAACAAAATAATTTAATTTCAAATAGATAATTGGAAAATACTACTTCTACTTGAGTTTAGCTTATAGTATATCCAAAGATAGAAGTGGCATGCTATAACAAAAACTTCTGGAAAACTGAAAGTTCACACAAACAGACAAACAAACAAACACATAATGTAAAATGAGCAGATCAGTACATCATGGCATATAGTGGGCTCAGAGGCAAGAACTTTGATGAGAAGCCTGTAAAAGTTATGGCAATGATGATAAAAATGAGAGAATAGGTTAATCAATACCTCGTATGGTGTATGTGTGACTGAAGATGTGTGTCGACAACCATCAAAAGAAGGAAGGTTACCACTGCGTAACTTATACCAGAGAAATGCCAAGCAGGTCACGACAGCGACACCTAGAACATATAAGAAGCAGATCACTATTGTGAAATAAAGACCACTAAGATATAGCAGCATGATGATGTTGTTTGTCTCCACTGGCTCTGGACCAGATACTTGCAGCATAAAAATAGTCAGAAATGATGGCATAAGAAGGTTACCCAGCAATGGAAAAGCAAACTAATTGTAGTCGATTGTATCCTTATTGTTAACCAAGTTTACCAGGAATTTCTCAACCATCATTAAAGTTTGAACGAGAAAACATGAAGGCATAAAACACAAGAAATTTTGCCTGATAACTAAATCGGTAACCATGTAAGCATACAAAGAAACAATGTTGATCAAACCAAAAGCAACTCACAATTTATACATGTTCCTATAAATTAGAACATCGGGTCATAATGCATTTGCTTTGTGCATTTCCATTAACGGCCATGCCATAAGTGTGCAACACGCACACACAATCAAAAAAATTGTCTAAAAAGTGAAATAGACATATTTTTTGTTTCTATTAGAAACTAAAACACATGTCACGCGCCTCTTAATTATTTTAAATTGATGAGAAAGCACAATGTCCAGTACAGTATTGCATCTCTGAAAATTAATGGTACTCAATGTCCTGCTGACAGTGTAGATGGAAGATGAATCAATTGGAAGGGCTTGGAGTACTACAACAACTTATAGATGAACTAATACGGCATGGTAAAGATCAATTTCTCTACCTGAACCTAGCCTTTGCTCAATCTTGATTAACCATCACTAACTGACACATGCGCTGCAGGCATACAACCTCATGACGCCATCTACCATTTTGCCCCAGATTCATGTAACTGCAAAATCAAGGTTCAGAATCTTTTGGACACTCTTCGTTCTTCATTTGAATGTACGGTGGTATATGTTCAGAGACAACTATACCATGTACGCTGCTTCAAAAGCTTTGGAGATAGTGTGAACCACTTGGTCGCCAGTGACTTTGCTGAGGTAGTGGCGATGACCAGCAGCCAAATACACAGCAACATGAGCCATAACTTCAAATAGAAAGCGGAAAAAACAAATCAGTATGAATAACCATGGATATGGAAAGGAAAGAGACCAACTACACACGCACCACTGTTTATCATCAGCACATCACAGTTTTTCAATGTAACCAGCGAGGTTTGTTAAGATAAGCCATGCGCGTAAGGCTCTTGGCAGGGACAAACAACAGAAAAGGGAACAACCTTGGATACGGTGATGTCGGTGCTCTGGCGGAGCACCGGAGCAGCGGTCGATCCAAATGCCGGAGCTGACGGGCTTGATCTGGATGTCGTCGACGTCGTGGCTGCGGCCGGCCTGGAATCGAAGAAGGCCTTCGTCTGCGCCACCATGATGCCGAACCGCTTCAGAAACACGAACGGGTTGCCGGCTTGCTCGCCGTGATGACGGTGTGGTCCTCACGCCCTGGCCCCGATCTATTCTTGCTTCCCGCGTGCTAATCGTCTTCCTTCCTCCTCATAGCCCTACTTGAGGCCGCCGGCGCTACCGCAAATCAATCAGCCGCCGTTCTCACACAGAAATGGGGGAGAGCAGATGAGTGGAGCGGTGCGGCGAGAGCGAGGAGGACGAGGGGAGATTGCGTGCGGCGGTTGTTGAGAAAAAGCAGTGGGGGCGAATTTACCCGGTGAAGGTGTTATCCCAGGTCGTTTTTCACCCCACAGAACAGCTTACGCCACTGACAGCAGGCCCGCTAATAAACCTGGGACCACCTGCAGAGCAACAAGCAAAACACATCGATCGCTCTGCGCTCACCCCGGTCGCTCTCGCCCGTCGCTTCGTCTGTCGCTGCCATTGGCCAAAGACAGGCGCTTACCTGGACACAATCCACCGCTCCCATTGGCCAAGGCGAACAGTACACGTCCTGCCAACGTGGACGACGCGAGGATGCGCCATTGGTGCGACTGTTAATGGGTTTAATAGCACCCCAGGTACCCTAACTTGCACCCAGTGTGATGATTTAGTCCCAAAGTTGCAAAACTTGACCAAACCATATCCCAACTTGCACATTATGTGATGATTTAGTCCCAGACCAATCACAGCTCGCCAATTGGCTGCCAAGTGGCTGGACGGTCAGCGCACGCAGTTTTGCAGAAAACCCCCTGCAGTTTCCAATTATCAACCCGCAGTCACCCCACTTCTACTGGAAACTACTGTACATATGGGCCAATGCTACTGGAAACTACTGTACATATGAGATGCCAAGAAGTTCGATCCTTCAGAGCTTCTGAAGAACATCGCGCATGGCCGCGCGCGGCCTACACACGGCCTCCAAAGCCACGGCCTTGGGCATGGTGATCCCCACCCCCTCCGTCATGTCCACCTCCACGCCGTCTACCCGGTCCCAGTCGAAACACTGCACCAACGTCCCGAGAACCACCCCGACCGTCTGCAGCGCCAGCGCCTCGCCGGGGCACCTCCGCCGCCCCATCCCGAACGGCATCAGCAGCAGCCCGTCGCCCTTGCCGTCCTCGAACCGCTCCGGGCGGAACGCCGTCGGGTCCTCCCACACAGCCGGGTCCATGTGGAGGGCGTACGCGTTCACGATCAGCATGGTGCCGCTCCGCACGTCGTAGCCGCCGACCTTGCAGTCGGCGGAGGACTCGTGCGGCAGCAGCGGCGGCGCCGCCGGGTACAGGCGTAGCGTCTCGTTGATGATGCACTGGAGGTAGCTGAGGCGGGGCACGTCGTCGGCGCTGAGAGTGGGAAAGGCCAAAATTAAATTACTAGAAATAAACACGTTGGAAGTGGGATTCATCCAGCTAAGTGACATGGCCGTGTTACTCGCCTACGTTGAGTGACCACTATCTGATTAGATATATGATAAGACAGATAAAAAGTGGAGTACTGGACTAACACAATGACTCAGGTCGAGTTGTTGCTATCTGATGACCACTATCTACTGATGATGCCAAATTGCCAATGTCCTTAATGAAGAAACTGACAGTTGAAGTACTCGGGTATGTGAGAAGCAACCAAGTGGAAAAGTGACTTACCGCACACAGAGCGATGATCATCTGATCAGTGTACAGCTCCGGCTCCGTCTTCTGCAGAGTGAGGAGCACGGCGATCATGCTCTTCTTCTCGCCCTCGTCGCCGGCGCCGCCCTCGTCCATCCTCCGCCGCTCGGCGTCGATGAGCCGGTGGAGGAAGGCGTCCCTCCTGCTCACCGTGGCCAGGATCCTGCTCCTCACGCCGGACACGTCGAGCCACCGCATCACCGGCAGGTAGTCCCACACGTTGGCCGCGCCGATGAGCGGGATGATCTCGTCCACCACCTGCTTGAACTCCTGCGCCTCCAGGGACATGTCCATCGCCACGTCCCTGCGCTCCGTCTTCCTCTACGACAACAACCTCACCGGCGCCTTCCCGCCGGCGCTCGGGCGCTGCAGGCAGCTGCAGCGGCTGCTCCTTGCAAACAATGGGTTCTCCGGTCACATACCGGCCGCCGCCTTGCCGCAGATGGAGAGCCTGGAGGTGCTCGACCTGTCGTCCAACTCCCTCACGGACGCCATCCCGCCTGAGCTCGGCAAGCTCCAGGCGCTGGCCGGCACACTGAACATCTCCCGCAACCGCCTCTCCGACGCGGTGCCGCCGGAGCTGGGACGTCTCCCGGCGACCGTCACCCTCGACCTCCGCTTCAACAACCTCTCCGGCGAGATCCCGCAGTCCGGGTCCCTCGCCAGCCAGGGCGCCACGGCCTTCCTCAACAACCCCGGGCTCTGCGGTTTCCCGCTCCAGGTCCCCTGCCGCGCGGCCCCGCTGTCGGCATCCTCCTCCACGCCGCCTCCGACCACCACTGGCTCCGGCGGCAGCGCCGGCGGCACTAGCCAGCCGATGAAGACCAGCCTCATCGTGCTCATCTCGGTCGCCGACGCGGCCTGCGTCGCCCTCATCGGAGTCATCATGGTGTACATATACTGGAAGCTGCGCGACCGGCGCGGGGATGATGTCGACGACGACGAGGACGAGGAGGGGCGAGGGCTCTTCGCCTGCCCGTGCATGCGCGCAAACACCTGCGGGGACTCGTCGGACGGGTCCGACGCGGGCGGCGGCGAGAAGAAACGCGGCAATGGTTCCGGGGGCGGAGGCGGCGGCGAGGACGGGGAGCTGGTGGCGATCGACAAGGGGTTCCGGATGGAGCTGGACGAGCTGCTCCGCGGCCCCGGAGCGGTACAAGGAGTTCGCGGCGGAGGCCGGCGTCGTCGGGCGCGTGCGGAGGCCGGCGTCGTCGTGCTCTTTTTTCCAACGGCTTGCTCTGCTCTGAAGAATAAAACAGGTTGATAATTGGAAAACGGCAGGGAGGTTTCTGCAAAACTGCGTGCGCTGACCGGCCCAGCCAATTGGCGAGCTCTGATTGGCCTGGGACTAAAACATCACATTGTATGCAAGTTGGGGTATGAGTTGATCTAGTTTTGCAAGTTTGGGACTAGATCATCACATTGGGTACAAGTTAGGGTACCTGGGATGCTATTACCTCGTTTAATTGCTACTCGATTAACAAGGATGGAGCAAGAACATGGTTTACCTATGGTAATTTGCTGAACAGGGCAGGGACCTGGTTTTGAACGGAGGACTAGTACAAGTGCATGCGGTTTGAGCCTGTCTAGTTCTACGGCAGCTACGGCAGCTAGCGGTGGCGTGCAATCGGCATGCATGCGGTCAGAGAGATGATTTCTTTCCTTCACCGGGCACAAAAGTCTTGATTCCGCGCGCGGACAAAATTACTGTTATGACCTCTCTGACTAACAAAATCTCGATTTGACCTCGTTTATAAAAAAATTCGTTTTTGACCTTTTTAGGAGACGCCAACATCCCTGGCGTCTGGGTTGCGAAGCAGACGCCACGGATCCTGGCGTCTGGCCCCTGGCCCGCACTGCCCGCCTGCCCGTTGACCCGCTGACGTGGCAAAGGGGCCAGACGCCAAGGACCCTGGCGTCTGGCCCCGGTAACTGGATAACCCCACGGGAGAGTGTGTGGGACCCACCCCACACACTTTCCCCAATCCACAACCCGAGCTTGAAGAAGACTTGGAGCTCTCATACTCTCTCCCACCCCTCAAGCTCCCCCTCAAATCCTCTCCAAAAGGTGCATCCCTTAGGTGGATCTTTCCATCACTTTGCTGCTCTTGGTAATCTCCCCCAAATCATCCAATTATTTTTTTGTTAAATCTTGCTATTTTGGTTGCATTTTATACATGTTGGTAGAACCCTAGTTCATGTTTTCTCCCCCATATGTTAGTGTGAATGGCTTGGTTAACTTTGATAATATAGTGCTATGCATGGTGTGTAGTAGGAATATATGTTTATTGAGTAGAAAGATTGGTGGTTAGGGTTAGTTAGTGATTAGGGTTAACTTTGCTTAGTGTGTGTTAATTAGTGATACTTTTGTGGACATGACCAATAATTTAGTGTTGATATGATTTGGATATAATAAGATGTATTTGGACAAACACCAATTCTCATTGAAGTCTTAAATGCATTCATGTTATTTTTAGATGGAGAGACTTGTTAATGTTCATTACATTGACAAGGAGGCATTCTTGAGTAACAATGCCGACACGGGTGAGGAACCATTGGTTTTTGATACAAGCCCTAGCTATGAGAATGTTGTTGCAAAAGTGAGACAAGTTTTGAAGTGGATGGACACCAATGTTGATGTTAAGTTAATAGGAAGGTATGATGTTGGAGTTGGAGCCAAATCTCGCTTGAAAAGTATGCCTATCACCTCGGATTTGCATTGGGATGTATACAAGGAAAAAGTATCCCAATCGGAAGACAAGTCACTTGAATTGTTTGCCACCAAGGTTGAATCTCCTCGGTTTACCTTTGATTTGAACCGGCATGTCTCTTCCCCAATGGATGACATGAGCGAGAGGACAATGGTGCCACTTGTTGAGCATAGGGTTGTGGTTGACGCCCCCAATGTTTATCCCCCACCACATCCCCGTGTACCATCTATTAAAGAAAATGAGGTTGAGTTGTATGCCCCCAATGCTTCTAGCCAACCACCAACTAGTCAAGCAAATGAAGTTGAGGTGATTGCTAGTGACGGAGTAATTCAAGAGGATGAAGATGCTTATGATGACGACGAAGAGCAAGAGGAAGGGTTTCATGGTAATGATGTTGATGACTTGGATGCGTACATAGCGCAAAAGGACATGGATCGTGACTTGCCTTTTAGGCGTCAATGTGCGTATGACTCGGATGACGAGGGTCCAGTTGAACAGTTGGACGAGGATGGATTCACAAAGGAGGAGAACCAAATCCACTTTGAGCTGACGGGCTTACAAAAAAGAACTCACTTGTTTAAAGATCTCAGCCTTGCCCATAAAGCTGTTGTTGACGGTGGAATGAGAATGACGGCGATTGAGCCAACACCATGCCCGGATCCAGGAGAACCAAGGGTGGAGAATGAGGACGAGAATGCTTATTTGAAGAAAGGAGTGAAGTTTCTGAGCTTGCCTATGCTGAAGTTTTGGTTGGCTGATTATGCCATTCGAAACCATAGGCCATTTTATGTTGAGCACTCCGACATGAAGTTGTGTTACACCGTGGTGTGTGAGCAAGAAGGATGCCCATGGAAGGTTCGTGCAAGAAAGCTTAAAGAAACCGAAGAATGGGTGTTAAAAAGTTGTGTTGCCACTCATAGATGCAAACCTCCATCTAAACGACTTAGAAAGACACACCGTCAACTCACATCTGAGTATCTCGGATACAAATGGATGAAAGACATAGGCTTTGATCCCACTGTGAAAGTGAGGTTTCTCATGCGGACGGTGAAAAAACAATTTGGTTATGAAGTCAAGTATGGGAAGGCATGGAAGGCAAAGGCAAATGCTATTAGGATGTTGTATGGTGGTTACGAAGAAGCATACAACCAGCTCCCAAGGTTGTTGGCCGCCATTGCACATAGGAACCCGGGCATGTTTCATGTGGTCGAGGATCACGAGGGAGTGTTCCATCGTGCCTTCTGGAGTTATGGACAATGTGTGGAGGCGTTTCAGCATTTTCGTGCGGTCTTGTCTATAGATGGCACGTTCTTGACCGGTAGATACAAGGGCACACTAATGGTAGCAATGGCGCACTCATCAAACGACAATGTGTTGCCGTGTGCATTTGCTTTGGTGCCTTCCGAGCACCAAGACAACCGGGAGTGGTTCATGGGTCATGTTAGGCATAACGTGATTGGGGCTAGGGAGGTATGCATCATATCGGACCGGCATCATGGCATACTCAAGGCAATGGACATTGTTATTCCAGGATTTCCAAAGCTTCACCACAGATGGTGCATGAGGCATTTCGTGGCCAACTTTTACCGGGCATGTAAGAGCAAGGAGCTCAGCAAAGACCTTACCCATGTATGTGTGGCCTTCACCACCCAAGGTTTCGATGCTCGGTACAACAAACTCTTTGCAGCGGTGAACGAAGGGGGAAAAGACTTCTTAACTAGGAATTTAAGCAAGAAGCACAAGTGGGCACGCGCTCATGACGATGGTGGTTGGCGATATGGCGACATGACGAGCAACCTGGTAGAATGTTTCAACAATGTGTT